CTTGAATATCGTTATTATTAAAGACACGCAAAAGACTCATCCGACTGAATAATAATTATTATTATTCGCGATATGAAACGCCCGCCTCCCGTATCTTGTATGCGAGCAATCAATACGCATCTCGTAGAGACAAGTGCATCCAATGGATATTTTAATTTCCTCTCTCTAAGATACAATTGAATATTATCTCACGCTAAAAGTGCACGTATTCAAATTTTTGCTTCAACTCAGTAGTTTCAGATTGCCGAAAATTTTGAGGATTTTGACAAATATATTTCTCAGAGAATAAATAAACTCCTATTCTAATTTCTAAAAATAGATATGAATCTTAATCTGAAAAATTAAACAACAATTCTCTCTTAATATTTTAGTTGACTCTCGTACAACTATAATTAGCTATAAATTGCAAAATTGCATCTAACACGCCATGCGATCTCTATCCCTCTGAATAAATAAAGGAAAAGTTGAGGAAAATCATGAAATCTGAAAGTTCCAGGCGAATTCGGATATCTGACAGATATCCTTTGAATGCTGCATTATTTGACGCGTAAAAGTTGAAAAGCGAAATAAACTTTCACCGTGTCAGATACGTCTGTTTTATTCAACGCATTTCTCCCCGCTTTGTCCCATACCGCGCGTTTCGACGCTCGTATTATTGACAGCGCGTTACAAACACCGAAGCATATGTATCGCTTGATGTGGCGAGGCAAAGCTAAACACACATCCACCGGAGAAGTTTATCGAGCACGAGAGCAGTCGAACAAACTAGCCTGCGGGAACAGCCGGGCGGGATTCGAGAGGCAAAGTGCCGAGTCGAAAAGAGAGACCGCGAATTACGGAGAGTGAGAGCAATCGACGAGTGTGCCGTTTGCGCATTTACAGAAAGGGAGACGTGAAACGGCAACACGCGCGACAGCGAGAAGCGAGGATAAACATGACGGTAAACTCGGAAGCGCTTTGTCCGGCGCGGGGTTGGCACGGCGCGATGCGAGTCGCGACGCTCTGTGCCGTTTTCACGGTGGCTTGAATCGCACTCGCCGTATAAACCGCTTACTTGCTCAACGACGAACGAAAACGAGATCCCATAGGGCGTAACATCGTAGAAACCCACCGAAGGAAGTCGAGCTACGAGAGATAGTTCCACGCGCGACACGTACGCGTATGTATCGTGTATACCTGTATCCGCGAGCGGTTCAGAGACAGTGGAGAGACACACTCTAGCGTCGTTGAGGATAAGGATAATGGGGAAGGACGGAAAGAGAGACGGCAATAACGGATGAACAAATATTTGAGCGGCCGTGAGAAACGCGAGTACCATGTAACGCGCGTCGTCGGTGACGAAACGTCACAAGTACGGATAATAGAGGTAGATGGAATAGAGATAGCAGAGAATCAGAAAGTTGATTACATTATTACGTTAATTAAAAAAAATCGAATATTCAAAAGGAATTTATCGTTACACGATATTATTAAATTCAAATCAGAGAAAAAAACATCGTATTTAAAAGTTTTTTCACATCAAGTCTTCAGCTAATGTCATAGTTTTTATTGCATCTATAATTATCTATGTATAATTTTTTCAATAAAATGCTGTACTTATGAAAACAATTCATTAATCTGAAATGAAACGAAACTGATTGATAATTAGAGATACATATCCCGAAGAGATTTAAACGGTTTAGCGCCCATGGACGGAGCACGTTTGTAAAAGGAATTCGAAAGAGCGATGGCAAGTGTTTGATTTTCCGTCGTGCCGCGCGCGGAACCGCCACGAACGTACTGCGATTCTCGTAATCGACGTTTCGATAAGCGTGGCAAACGACCGCCATTTCTCGCCTGTAGCTGATTATTCTTTTGCAGTCGATCGCGCGTATAATTCGCAAGCAGAAGGAATATCGAATGGGAAAATGAAGAGAAAGAGAATAGGAACGGATGGTGACTTTTGAAGGTGCTTGAAATCGATTATTCGTGGTGAGAGAATAATCGAATAAAAGAAGATGCTACAGGAATTTTATTATTATTATTATATGCAATATGCAAGATCGACGTGAGATTTTATTATATCACTATATGTTTTCAAGATAAAATCAATAGATGTCATTATTCAGACATTTTTATAATTATTGTTAAAGAAATGATTATACATATATTAATTGGCTTTGCAAAATCCATTAATATTAATATTAACGTTAGAGAATACAAGAGCAAGAATAACATTTAGATACGCCATTTACCATGTTATCTTGACAATATTAAGGAATTGACAGATAATCCGAACAGTATTACTCTACGACAACATGAGCCTTTGACAGTTGAGGACCTATAGCTTAAGTTTCATTAGTTTCCATATGAATCCATCCTTGTTCAGAGAAGCATCACTGACAGGAGATGTCCGGGGATCGAGGACTGAGAGTATGAGAGGGATGAAGGAGGGAAGGGTTCGCTCTCGATAAGGATACGATAGTCCACATGGGAATCGCTCGGCTGCTTGGTTCCGCGCATTCGACCCACCTTGATATAACAAGAGAACTACTAAAACTGGTGAAAACGCCCGTTGGGGTGATATCGCCTTTAGCTACAGAACTTACTAAAATGTCACGCGAAACAAGAGACCTGAGATTAAATGACTTCATACTTTTCTCTACATTGAACATTCCCGATAAACTCTGTAGTATCAAGATTATATTTTATAGTTATATTATATGATTTTACATAGAATTTAATTAACATGAAATATTTAGAACTTCTACTTAGGATTTCTAAATTAAAATAGAGATTATATAAATACGTGTTCAAAAGATTACATTTTTAATGCGAATTAAAAATGCAAGTCTCTGATGCAAATCTCTCGAATGCAATATTAATCATTGCGAATAAAAATTTCAAATATTTAATTTATCGAATTCTCCAAAATTGAAAGAAATTTTATTCTTTCACAAGTTTCTTTACAAATAGAAAGTAATATTTGATCGTGTTCCCGATATGCATAATAATAGGAAAAAAAATAGCTATGAAATCGTATTTATGATCATCTATAAAACATCTATGGACATTTTTCGAGAGAAAATATTATGGGACATGGATATATATCATTTGGCAAATCATATAACGTCTCTTGTAGATTCACATTCACGCGACCATTTTACTCGCGATTCATCGACGTTGTCCTCGATTCCATCGAGTTACGAGCACTCGACCGAGACGTAAAGTACTTACATATCGACTACCCTCGAGACTAAACTCAGTTCATTCCACCTAGAAGTGCGTCAGCTTCTCGGTATGCCCTTGGGGTGTACTTTTCTCGATACGCGTCGATTTCCCGGAGGAATCGCACTATTGGATGTATTCCCAGATACTTTCGCGGTCATGCACTTTTCGTACACTCTCAGCCACGTATTCAATTTGCATACGGAATCGGTCTAGCATTTTTACAATTTTTACAATAATGACTCCGATTTTAAGATAATGCGTATTTAAATTATTCAGCGCAGATAACGTAAAATGATCCGTCTTATAAATTAAATATTTATTTAATAATTTACTATAAACGTAAAATAACAAAAAATTTAATTAAAGTGGAAGTTATAAATTGAAATCCAACATTTGAAACATTTGAAAAAATTTTTTTATATTTGACATTTATATTTGACAATTTGACATTTAATTTTGATTTTTGCTGTGTATTAGATTGTAAAAATGCGAGCCATAACTCAATGGCGCAATTAGAAAAAAAAATTGGGAACGGTAAATAAATGTAATTCTAAATTGATTATTATGTGCTACTTTTTTTTCTATGCGCGAGAAAATTTCCGAGTCTCGACAATGTTGAACGTTAAAAATCGCCTGTGGTCGGTGGACACCTGTTGAATTCACGTGGACTAAATTTTTAATTGCGTAATATATGCATATAGAAGGAAAAAAATTGTTATAGACTCGGAAATTTTATTCAAACAGACATTTTTTCCTCCAATGCAATACCGTGCCAATATTCAATCATAAACGATTTATGTTATCGCAGAGATAGAAAAGAGTAAATAAAAGAGATTTCGCTTTTCAATATGGTGAAAAAGAAGTCTGATCATGGTGATTCTACGAACACAAATCCACACGTGCACAAACTCGCCGGGGAAGACGTCGTTGGCCGCGATCTCAGAGTTTGCCTCTGCTATCTTGTCCATCGAGGCGCCGCCTTTGCTTACCGAGGCAGATTCTCTTTGCTTTTTTTATCTTCCCGTTGGTTTCGTAAAAGGAAGAGAAATGGGAGAGGCGAAGCCCAACTGAGAGGAGCCGTGGTAGGCGCTGATCGACGCGCAGCGAGTTTATCTTCGAAATTCCTGCATCGGAAATACTTCTAACGAAAATAGTGCCATAACTGCGCAGAAGTGTTACTGTTATATTAAAAAAAATATATATATACATAAAACTTAACTGTAACGTATAATATAAAGTACAATAAAATAAATAGAAAGAGTGAAAGACGTTTATTTTTCGCGAGTACGAGATGCATCTCGAAGATCTACTATTCTATTCTATTAAAATATATCGCATCAATTCGTGCATGTCGCTCCATCTTATTTAAAGTTACTGGTTTTTGAAATCTGACACACGAGCTATTTTCGAAACAAATAGTTTGCATACAATATAAATATCTCGGTCGATTCCGAAAATAGAAACGTGCGCGATATCGACAATATTCAAGCAAAGAATGATATTAATTTTCTTCGAGACACGCGCGAGTAGAAAGACGCGATCGCCGTTTCTCAAACTGCTCCGCTACAAATAATGGAATCAAGTGATCTGTCTTCAATATCGTGAGTCCCGAAACGTCTGTAGGATCTTGCACGGAAGTTCCCAGAGCTTCCAATCGCTCCAGAAGTGGAATCATCAGGATTTTCCGTCTTCTAACGGATTCGCGTCACGTAACGATTCGGTACTGGGATTTTCTAGATATCAAATCGTATTATAAAGTTGATGATCTCTTTATTTCTCTCTTTCTGTACCTCTCTGTATTTCGCTTTCTTGCGTCTGCGATTGTCTGCCGGTACGAATTCCGGAATTCGCCGGAAGATCACGCGGCATTTCTCGCAAATCGTTAAGCTCTTGCCGGCAGGCATGTAACCGGCACGTAGGCGAGCACGCGACGAATCAATCGGCGAAATTTTTACGCGAACGCGATTACCGATTCTCTTCCGCTCGATTTTGTGTCCCGAGTACGATGATCTTCGTGGAGAACGCGCGCGCACGAAAAAGCAACGGCAATCGATGGAGATACGTGCGACGTCATACCGCGATGAATTCCCACGGGTCGCCGTAAGCTGACGTGAAGGAGCCTGCAGCTGACACGTAATTACCGGTAATGAGATGATACAAAGGCTACGAGTTGCGCCAACATATCGAGCAAAATTGAAATGCATCTTGCGTAAATAGGAGCGCGAGAATTCCACAGAAGTTAAAAGCGTCGCCATTATACAGCCCCGAAACGTATTAGCGATTAAAAAGGCACTCTTGCTTATTGGTCTCGGATTAAATCATAGCGGTTCCCTGTGCTCGTCGGCGTGAACATTCGATACGATCGAGGGAAGATGCAGCTTCGTGAAATATCAATTTTCATGCTTTCTCACTACTCTTGCGTTTGTAAGATCTCTCAATTTCCTGTATCCGGAATCCGTGATAATCAATTAAGTAGAAAACCGATATAAGATTGACCAGTCAGATTAAAATTGCGGGAGCAATCGTGCTTTAAGAAATGGGAGAAAACCGTCCTCGTAATCGCGGAACTTCGTAAATAATAGGAAATCGGCAAATCTCAATTCTAAAAATAAATACACGCTGAGAGCGGAGAAAGCAAATTCCCGTCACAACTTCACAAAGAACATTATTGCGATGAAATATGATACATTATTCTTAATAAACAATATAAATAGAATTAAAATTTTTTGTTTCAAGAAATCTCACGTGAGATTTTGATTTCGAGGAATTGTTTCATAGGAGGAGAAATTTGAAGTGACTTGAAAGAGGCCACAAAGAACCGAGCTATCAATGTTCAAACCCCTGTGCATTTTAATAAAGATCTCGTCCTCGCAATTCGCACTAGTTTGAGAAATCAAAGAAATGAAAAGAGGGAAGAAAACAAAAAGCCAACGTTTGGTTCGATTGAGAGCTTGGTAATACCCTCAAATAAAAACTTCAAATGTGCAATTATCGCAACAAAATTCATAAAAAAATTAATATATTATATTATATTCCACTGAAAAAAATTTTTATATAAATTATAAATACACAACTTTCCCTCTTCTTCCAAAAGTTTTATTTACACGATAGAATAAACCGTATAACAATTAAATTATTAAATTTCATAAAATATTTTACTTTTCTGTTTTTTAAAACAAAAGAAACATGAGACGTGTCATTATTGCATCTTACTATCCTATTGTATTCTGAAAACCATTATCAGGCGAAGTGAATATACCAACAAAGAGAGAGAAAGAGAAAAAGAGAGAGAGGCAGGGGAGGAGAGAGAGAGAGAGAGAGAGAGAGAGAGAGAGAGAGAGAGAGAGAGAGAGAGAAAGGGAGAGAGGAAGGGAGAGAACAGAGCAAAGCAGAGTAACGGAGCTCAGAGCTCGATGAGAGAGGCCACGAAATGCGGCTGGAATGCCGCCACTCACCGATCATTTGGTAATAGCTACACGTGTATACCATAACGGCCACACGCCGCACAACCTCGACCGCCACCTTCGTTCGTGCCACTCATCTTGTTGCAATATGCGTGAGTTATGCGCCTCGTGTCTAAACGTTTTGCAATTTCGATAGATCCATCCGATTTCAGTACGGTTTCTAGGCGGAAGTGCAGATTCTGTGTGAGCGAAGTGGCACTCTCTGGCAATCGAAACGCGTTAAGTGGATGAGAACGTGGCTGTTGGACAATTATACGCGATATATCGTACGATGGGGCAATGGCAGATTCATCAATACGCAATGTAAATTTAAATCCTTTACTGTTGGGGATAAAAGTCAACGAAAGAATCCGGACTTTCTATCTCGGACAGCTTTGCGCGACGACGCAGATAAGATATTTCTATATGGCTTTTAATACAGCTTCAAGTTAATGGTTATTTTTATAGAAGCACGATTGCGTGAAACAGATAGAACAAATTTAAAGTTAACAAACACACGTTTTATCTCGGGGATGTAAAACAGTAGAAAAATACTCTCCCGCAGTTTCAAAAGTTCATTTCGCCTCTGTGTATAGCGTGTAGAATCTCAAAATGTTGTTGCGCGCGTCTAGGGAACTGCATATGCGGCCGTTGACCGCACGGTCCTTGGATGGAGGGTAATCGCGGTAGGATAGTTCTCCGCTTTTCGAGCTTGCGAGAGAGGTTGGCGTGCATGCTTGCCGAGCTTGCGAGAGCGTTTGTAAATTTATGGAGCCGCGAGGAGCGTATCCTGCGACGCGGCTGAATGGAAAATTATTATCGCCTTCCCGCTGTTGAATTACTTCTCCGTCGACATGATGCGTCGTATACCGATTGCTCATGGAGGTCGATCCTCATTCTCTGATTTCCATTGTAATAATTAGACGGTTTATACGGAACGACATTGGTTTACGTTACCGAATTATTGAGACGCCATGATATTAGGACAGACCGTATTCGCGATATGTGTATAAACATCCGGAAATGTTACATGTTAGATTATCGTTCTCATTTGATTACTTTAATTAGTTTAATAATAATGCTGTATCGCAGTATTAGCGTTAGGTGGACTAAATCATAAAAGGTGGACTAAATAATTGATCGACTTTCACGAATAAGAGTGCGTTGTGCTTTAAATTGTTCGATTCAAGGTACGGTCAAAGAGGGTCACGTGAATTATTCGAGAGGCGATTAGATCGACCGCAAAAGCTCGTTTCGCGGTATTACCGGTAGAGAATACGAAATACGGGCATAAAACCGATGTAAGGGATACAACAGATAGTCCTTTAGCATGCAAAGTAGATAACAATAGAGATTATATGAAATCCGTATGGGAAATTATGAGAAGGACACAGCTGAATTGTTTTATCATTTTGGAATAATAAAGCAAGTGCTATAAAAAAAACCTCTCAAAAACATATTGGACAAAATTCTCACATATGCCTTATGAATATTGTAAAATAATAACGATCAAATTAATATTGTATTTATGTCGTATAGAAGCTGAATACTTCAATTTCAGGAATTTTGAAGAATTCCAAGAAATTTTCAATATAAAAAAAAATTCCAAATCCTCTTTCTTTATAAAATTCTATACTAGATTAGCAAAGAACCATTACGTCTCGTCGCTCTGGCGCGAAACGATGCGGCGCGGCGAGTCGAGCGTGAAATATTCGTGCGAGGATTAGATCGCGAGAGGCCCCGACGCGCTTTGTCTCGCATTAATGGCCACACGCCGCGGGACTTTTCCGTTTCACGATGCAAGAAGGCGGGCATAGGATGCCCATAGACACAGGGCACGTAAACCTCGCCATCGCCATCGTCGTCGGCGTCATCGTCGTCGC